TGTTTCTCTCTCTCTCTCCCTTCCTCTCTCTCCCTCCCACTCTATCTGTACAAAAAAATGGAAAGATATCCTCAGGTGAGGATAAAAAAAAAAAAAAAGCTGTGGTATATTTACACAATGGAATACTATGTGGCTATAAAAAAAGGAGCTCTTACCCTTTACGACAGCATGGATGGACCTGGAGATTATTATGCTAAATGAAATAAGGCAGTTAAAGACAAATATCATATGATCTCACTTAATATGGAATTTAATGAACAAAATAAACTGACAAACAAAATAGATCCAGAGACATGAATGCAAGGAACAGAATGACAGATCTCAGAGGGGAGGGGAAAGGAGGGAACAGGAAGAGATTAACCAAAGAACATATATGCATATTGCCTTAGCCCAAGAACACAGACAATAATGTGATGAAGACCTGGAATGGGACAGGGGCTGTGTAAATGGGGGCAGAGGAGGGGAAAATGGGGGACAACTATAATATTGTCAACAATAAATTAAAAAAAGAAGTCAATGAAGTGCCCTGGCCGGTTTGGCTCAGCGGTTAGAGCATTGGCCTGCGGGCCAGAGAGACCCGGGTTCGGTTGCCGCTAAGGGCACGTACCTCAGTTGTAGTTTGTCCCCGACCCTGGTTGGGTTGTGTGGGTGGCAGCCACTTGACGTGTCCCTTTCACGTCGATGTTTCTCTCTCTCTCTCTCTCTCTCTCTCTCTCTCCCTCCCACTCTTTCTGAACAAAAAATGGAAAAAAAAAATGTCCTTGGGTGAGGATAAAAAATAAATAAATAAAATATTAAAAAAACAAAACAGAACAAAAAAAAGTCAGCGAATTTGGTTAGAGCATGGTCTGGATGCCAAGGTTGCAGTTCAGTTCCCCTCAGGGCACATACAAGAATCAACCAAAGCTCTCTCTCCCCCTAACCTCCCCCTTCCTCTCACTCCCTCCCTCCCTCCCTCCCCCTCTCCTTTGTTCCCTCTCTACTCCTTTCTCCATCCCTCTCCCTCCTTCCCTCCCTGAAAAAAAAAAATCAACCAATTAATGCATAAATAAGTAGAACTGATCTCTCTCTCTCCCTTCCTCTCTATAAAATCAATAAATAAAATAATTTTTAAATTAACAAAAAATTTTTTCTTTATTGATTTTAGAGAGAGAGGAAGGGAGAGGGAAAGAGAGACAGACTCATTGATTGGCCGCCTCCTGCATGTCCTCCACAGGGGATTTGGCCTACAACCTGGGAAGGTGCCCTGACCAGGAATCCAACCGACAACCTCTAGGTGCATGGGTTAATGCTCAACCACTAAGCCATACTGGCCAGTCAATAAAAGAATTTTTAAAAAAGAGTCAATGAAAGTATTAGAACAGAAAGGTAACAACTGCATTAACTTAGTCTCTTCCTTTTTTTTTTTTTTTTACATCTTCAGGACAAGATGTTAAAATATTGTGTTGATCAGTTCCATTGTTTGTAAATTTGAGCCATAGAAATAGAGGACATCCACCAAGAAAAAGTCGTATTCAAGTTTAAAAAAAAGTTTTTTGGCCCTGGCCCGTTTGGTTCAGCGGTTAGAACCTCGGCCTGAGGTCCAGAGACCAGGGTTCGGTTCCCGCTAAGGGCATGTACCTCGGCCCTGGTTGGCTCGTGTGGGTAGCAACCACTCGATGTGTCCATTTCACATCGATGTTTCTCTCTCCCTCCCTCCTACTTTATCTGAACAAAACATCGAAAAATGTCCTCGGGTGAGGATTAAAAAAAAAAAAGTTTTTTGTTTGGTACTGCCCCTAGCAGGAACTGAACCCAGGACTCTCTGATCCGAAGGCCAACGCTCCAACCACTGAGCCAATCTGGCCAGGGCAAAAAGTTGTTTTTTTTTTAATATTGTGAAAGTGATATATAATTACTATAGAAAATAATTTTGAAAAATAAAAAAATAAAACTAACCATAATTCCACCTCTCCAAGTTAAACACTATTCTTTATTTGGGGAGGCTCTTATTTATTTATTTTCTTTATTGATTTGAGAGAGAGGAAGGGAGAGAGAGAGACAGAAACATCAATGAAAGAGAACATTGACTGGTCACCTCCTGCATGTCTCCTACTGGGGATTTGGCCCAGAACCTGGGCATGTGCTCTGACTAGGAATCGAACCAGTGACCTCTTGGTGCATGGATTGACACTTAACCACATGGGCCAGGATGGGGAGGCTCTTATTTAATTTTGGGGCTCTAGTTGATAACCCGTCTTCACAAGACTACACCTCTAGCTTCCACTTCCGGCTTCAAATTTTCCAGCTGTGTTCTGGATGGCTCTCCAGTGTGTCTTTCTGTTGGTTTTTTTTTTTTTTTTATCATCCTCACCGAGGACATTTTTCCATTTTTTTGTTCAGGTAGAGTGGGAGGGAGAGAGAGGAACAGAGAGAGAGAGAAACATTGATGTGAAAGGGACACATCGAGTGGTTGCCACCCGCACAACCAACCAGGGCCGGGGACAAACTGCAACCGAGGTACATGCCCTTAGCGGGAACCGAACCCGGGTCTCTCTGGACCGCAGGTCGATGCTCTAACTGCTGAGCCAAACCAGCCAGGGCGGTTTTTTTTTTTTTTAAATATGGAACGCTTCAGGAATTTGCGTGTCATCCTTGTGCAGGGGCCATGCTAATATTCTCTGTATCGTTCCAATTTCAGTATATGTGCTGCCAAAGCGAGCACGCTCTGTTTTGTTTTGTTTTTTATTGATTGTTTTTATTGATTTTTAGAAAGAGAGAGGAAGGGAGAGGGAGAGACAGAAATATGGCTAAAATTGAACTCATTTCTGATTCTCCCATTCAAGATCTCTACCAACACCAGGGCCGGATTCCAGCTTATATCGGGCCCAAGTGTTGAAATGATTATGGTGCCCATTCTTGTGGGCAATTAGATGCTGTTTTTGAAATATCAAATTTTTCCAAGAATTTGTTTTTTAATTTTTGTTTTGTTTTTCTTAATGTTTTTGGTCTTTACTCTATGTGTAGTCTGTTGTTAGGTATCTAGTCCGCCAAATGTCTGTCCCATTAGTCATCTAGTCTGTGCCTCTCAAATCTGTCTGCCTGTCTCCACTGATCCTGTTACATTTGAGGCCCTTGGTATCACTGCCACAAACTACTGCAGTTCTCTTCAAATTGGTCACATGCTATGGCCATGGAGTCACTTCTTTAACCATTCCCATCTCTTGATATTTTCTGCTTCAGAACCCCTATGTTTTAGGAACATGTCCTGAATTTACCAAGTCTGCCCAGCTGCTCCCTCTGTCTACAGGGTTTCTCATTTCTCTGCCTAGTCAAGTGCTACTTACTTTTTCACAATCAACTCAAATGACATATCCCCTGAGAAGGGTTTCTCTTAATCCTCTTAGAAGAAACAGCTATTGAAGGAAGATGACCTCCCTTCTCTGCTAGTTGATCAGATGAGGCTTCATAGAAGTGTTGTCTGGTCTAATGTAGAATTTACCTTTTACTGGGGGTATACTTAATTCAAGTTGAGGAAAAAAGGAGAAAAGGTCTGGTATTGGCATGCTGCATTCATAGATACCCAACAGTCTAGCCCTACTGAACAGGCCAGGAAGGATGTTCTGGGGCCACTGAAGATCTTTGAACCAAGGGAGACAATTTAATAGGGAGAACATTATTATCAGTCTGTTTCTGATTGCATTGATTATCCAAACAGATTTTGAACTATGTGGGTATAGTCTGCATAGAGAAGCAGCTCAAATATCCTCATTTTCCAGGCACTGTTTTCTTACTGTGCACTTTGGTCAGCTCTCATCACACAGAACTATGATTTTTATCTTATTTTTTCAGGGAAGTCTGTCTTGTTTTTTGCCCTTATAGCACCCAACACAGGGCCCTGAACATTGTAGGTGATAGTAAATACGATTTGAAGGAATAGATCTCTTTAATAGGTATGTCTTTTAATGTATTAAAGCTTCCATATTATCTTCCCAGCAAGCTCCTAGAAAGAAGCACCATACTAATATCCAGATCTCAACCACACTCTCATCCAGCAGTAAACTTTGGGGTGAGCAAGGCTGGGGCTCAAGTTGTCCTTCAACAGAACCTTTGCTTGGGCAAGGTCTTGGGGTTACTTCCCGCCAAGCCCTCATCCCATCCGCTCCACACGAGCATCTCCGGGCGTGGCCCAGCGCGGCGCCTTTAAGAAGGGGCGGAGCACAAGTGGAAAGACAAAGCCCCTGGCCGCGCGTTCCCCTTCCCCCCTCCCGGCGCACCACACGGACACTGGTGCCCGGATGTCGGTGTCGCCGTCTGTGACAGATGGCGCAGTGTCTGTATGTGTTAGGAGGCTTCTCTAGTCTGACCTCCTTGAATTCCCGACTTTTCGATTCCCCGCTATCCCCCACTTTCAACTCCACTGCTGGAGGCCCATACGCCTGTCACCGGCACTTACATAACTTGACCTTTCACCTCTTCATACTGCCCTCTAGTGCGCTGCAACCCAACTACGCGGTCGGGGAAGGGGGCGGGACCAAGGCGCAGAGCGGCAGCTCCTCTGAGCCAATAGACTGTGAGCGCTGACCAGCTCTCCGCCTATTGGAGCATTCGCCACCGGCGCCACAGGGGAACAAGTTAGTATGTGCACTGGCCGGGCGCGGGGGGAGGAGGGGAATCTCCCGCCATTTTTCAATAATTTCCTCCCGTGCAGCTGAAGAGTCGTGACTGCCGAACGCGGGGGCCGGTAGTGAAGGTTGGCCGGAGGCTGCCAGGCGGCGCAGCGGTGTGCGTGGGAATTCTGCGTCCTTGCGTCCGTCCCATGGACCTCGCGCGGCCGCGCCACCAGTGAGGGAGCCGAGTTCGCGCCGCCCTCTCACCCCTCCCCTCCCCCACTCTACTCCCGGGAGCCAGGCGCTCGCTCCGGGCCGCGGGGCCTAGTGTTGCGCCGTGGGCTTGCGGAGCAGCCGCCTCTTCCCCCGCTGCCGCCGCCGCCGCCGCCGCCGCCACCACCACCACCGCCACCGCGATGGCGCCGCTCCTGGGCCGCAAGCCGTTCCCGCTGGTGAAGCCGCTTCCCGGCGAGGAACCGCTCTTCACTATCGCGCACACTCAGGAGGCCTTCCGCACCCGGGAGTATCCTTTTCTAGTCGCGCCGGCCTGGCCGCCCGTGGGGTTGGGCGGGGTGGGCCGGGGGCTCGCCGGCTGGGGGCCACGCAGCCCCGCGCCAGTGGCAGCTGTCAGCGTGCTGAGGCCCGCGGGCCTACACCCTGAGCCCGAGCCCGCGGTTCTGGGGGGCGGGCGGCGGGGCTGCCGACCGGCCCGGTTCAGGGCGCTGCGGAGCCCCGCGCCCTCCATCCATTCCCCACCTCCGCACTTTGTCCCCGGGCCTTGCTGTCGAGGAGCGACCCCCACCACCACACCCCCTGCGGTTGGCTTTAGATCCAAGTACCACAGGGAGCCGGGTTTCCTTTGCTGCTTTTTTCTTTTTAAATTAAACCTTCAACTTTTTGAAATTGTACCCGCGTGGCCTCGTGATCCTCCAGCTTGTACAAGTCTCGACTGCGTTTTACCCCGATCTCTGTGGGGGCACTTGTGTTTTTCTCCTTCCGAGTGGACTTTAGGCTGGTGACAGGATCTTGAGGCACAAAACTAAAGTTCCAGACTTAGAGAAAAAGGAAGGAAAAAAGTTACATTGGAGGAGCTGATGCCTTCTTTCCCAAGGTATGAACAGGTTTGGAATTTTGACGATTTGGAAGGAGATCGGTATCAGTTTTTAAGTAAAATGAAAAACAGATACCAATACCTAAAGTTTTTATGTTGCAATTTAGGAGCATGAGGCTGATGTTTTCTATATTAAGTATCCTCTCTAATCATTGTTTCTTGCGCAGGCTTAGTCTTTTGGTTAAAAGTTGCACAACTTTATTTTTTTACGGATGTCATTTGAGTCCTTTTTGATGCTTAAGTGTAAGAAAAGGTTTTTGAATCAAGCTTTCTTTAATGTACAGAAAACTTCAAGAATAAAGGCTAATGTGTTTAGTTTATCAGCCCTTTCCCTTTGGAAGGACCTGATTCCTTGTAGTTTCTGCTTTCTTTTGTATAGAGGAGGAAGTGCCTGTGAGATATAGAATTTGATTTCATTTCTTTTTGATCACCCCTTTAATGTAATACTTTTCTTTTTTTTAATCCTCACCTGAGAATATGTTTTATTGATTTTGGGGAGAGAGAGAAGTGCCTCCTGTATTCACTGGTGTACCGGAGGATGCTCCAACCATCTAAGCAACCCAGCCAGGGCTATTGTAATACTTTTTAGGATAATCTCATTATTGTTTGAGTGCAGTTTGTGACTGTTGCGTGTTTACATATAAAGAGACCTGGAAAGTGAGTCCATGCCGTAGGAAGGCTCTTGAAATATAACTATAGCATCTTGGAGCTCAATGGGTTGTGGAGATGTTCAGGTTCTGTCTGCTCTGTCAAGTGGTCCCAGAGACTTGAGGTTAACACACACTGTAAATGATGAAAGTCAGGAGTAAAATCCAGTGCGTTCCCACCTCATCCCTGTATGTAAATTAAAAACAAACAAACATGGAATGCTACTTCCGTTTAACGATGTTAGTCCACTTTTCTGTCAGTTTGTGGTGTAAGATGAGGTCCATTTAAGGGAGAAGTGGGGATGGTAAGGTGGTTCGTTTTCTTGTTCTGTTTGGACTTTGGGATTGCTTTGGAGAAGTACTTTAGCTCTACGTAATATAGCATTATTCTAAAGGTGCCCTGCTTTTTAAAGAATAACATTCAAACATTGGTAGGATAAAAAATTACTTGTGGGAATCTGCCATATCCTTTTCAAATGTCATTCAGATGTTATCTTTTGAGCAGTTGATGGATACTCACACTAATAGTTCAGATGTTAATTTTTCAGGTCTGATTCTAAAGGAGTATAAGAAACGTGTTAGAGAAAAGTTCTAAGTCTGTAGTAGGTACTGAGCTATGTAAAAGTGGCTGTAGCTAGCTGATTTAGAACGGTCAGCATAGGCTTTTTCATATTATTTACTGAAATCATTGAAATATAATATATATGAAGAGTTCCTCTTAATGGTGACAATTGAAAACTGAAGACTGAAACTTTTAAAGTGGTATGTGTTTAATAAAAATCTTCACTAAAAAAATATTCCCAGTTTGGTGGTATGGCTTAGTGGATTGAGCATCGTCATGGACTGAGAGATCCCAGTTCAATTCCTGGTTAGGGCACATGCCCTGGTTGCGGGTTCGATCCCCAGTGGGGGCTGTGCAAGAGGCAGCCGATCCATGTTTCTCTCTTACATCGATGTTTCTGTCTCTCTAAAATCAACAAAAACATATTAAAAATTTTTAAATCAATTTAAAAAACATATCAGAAAAAAAAAATTTCCATGCCAGTACTTCTAGAACCCTTTTAACAAAGGACTTCTTTTTTTCTTTTTTTTTTTTATCCTCACCCGAGGACATTTTTCGATATTTTGTTCAGATAGAGTGGGAGGGAGGGAGGGAGAGAGAGAGAAACATCGACATGAAAGGGACACATCGAGTGATTGCCACCTGCACGACCCAACCAGGGCCAGGGACAAACTGCAACTGAGGTACTTACTTGCCCTTAGCGGGAACCAAACCCGGGTCTCTCCGGACCGCTGGCTGATGCTCTAACCACTGAGCAAAACCGGCCAGGGCAACAAAGGAATTCTTAAGTTGTGTTACTTATTGGGGGGAAATTGCCCACTTGGGAATGTCTACTAGTAGAAGCACTTTAAGATGGTTTTTAAACAATTGTATTGTGTGGTTAGCAGGTTGACATATTTCTTTATTAGGCTATTAGGAATTTCATAGAGGAGAACAAGTATGTGGTTGAGTAACAGCTGCATTTGAAATACTGTTATTTCCTCCGTGGCCGGTTTGGCTCAGCAGTTAGAGTGTCGGCCCCGGACCAGAGAGTCCCAGGTTCAGTTCCCACTAAGGGCACATACCTCAGTTGCGGGTCATGTGGGCGGCAACCACTCGATGTGTCTCTCGTCCATATTTCTTTCTCTCTCTTTCTCTCTCTCTCTCTCCTGCTCTATCTGCAGATAAATGCAAAAATGTCCTCAGGTGAGGATTAAAAAAAAAAGAAGAAATACTGTTATTTCCAGTTCTTAATTTATATTTATAATTATGTTTTTAATAGGATTTGATACTTTAATTTTCTTCTAAGTACTATCTTTTGATTGCGTGTATATTTTATAACAAATTTATATGATGTTTTATTGACTTAAAGCTGTGAGTATTGGCATGTTCTTAAAGGCGTTATTGTACATCTTTTTTTTAATCCTCCCCTGAGGATGTTTTCCATTGCTTTTTAATAGAGTGGGAGGGGGAGAGAGAGAGAGAGAGAAACCTCAACTGGTTGCCTCCTACACGACCCCACTGGAGCTGTGGATCAAACCTGCAACTCGTATGTGCCCTTGACTGGGAATTGAACACCTGACCCCTTGGTCTGCAGGCCGATGCTCTAATTGCTGAGCCAAACCAGCCAGGGCTGGTTATTTTATGAGAACTTTTAACTGGTGTAATGAGAAAGGGCTATTAGAATATTGCCTAGAAAAAGATGACTAGACTATGTTTTAAGAGTTAGAGTTGTTGTCCTGGCCAGTTTGGCTCAGCAGTTGTCAATCTGTGGACTGAAGAGTCTCAGATTTGATTTCCGATCAAGGGCTGTACCTGGGTTGCAGGTTGGATCCACGGCCCCGTGGGCGTTGTGTGGGAGGCAGTGAATTGATGTGAGAGACACATTGATGTTTCTCTCTCTCTCTCCCTCCCTTCCACTCTATCTAAAAATCAATGGGAAAATATCCTCGAGTCCTGGCTGGTTTGGCTCAGCAGTTAGAGCATCAGCCTGCGGTCCAGAGAGACCCGGGTTGGTTCCCGCTAAGGGCGCGTACCTCGGTTACGGTTTGTCCCCTGCCCTGGTTGGTTGTGTGGGTGGCAGCCACTCGATGTGTCCCTTTCACGTCGATGTTTCTCTCTCTCCCTCCTACTCTACCCGAACAAAAAATGGAAAAATGTCCTTGGGTAAAGATTAAAAAAAGAAAGAAAAATATCCTCGGGTAAAGATAAACAACAACAACAACAAAATTGGAGTTGTAAGACAGGATTTTATTGGACAATGGAATACTGAGCTCTTACATTGATTTATAATTTAATTTTTTAAAATTGATTTTTACAGAGAGAGGGAGAGAGAGGTAGAAACATCGATGAGAGAGAACATTAGTTGGCTGCCTCCTGCATGGCCCCCATTGGGGATTGGGCCCACAACCTGGGCATGTGCCCTGACCGGGAATTGAACCAGCGACCTCCTGGTGCATGGGTCAACACTCAACCACTAAGCCACACTGGCTGGGCATAATTTAATTTATTTTATTTTTTTGTTTTATCCTCACCCGAGGACATTTTTACATTTATCTTCAGATAGAGCAGGAGAGAGGGAGGAAGAGAGAGAGAGAGAAACATCAATGTGAGAGAGACACATTGAGGGGTTGCCACCCACATGACCCCAACTGGGGCCGGGGACAAACTGCAGCCAAGGTACGTGCCCACAGTGGGAACCGAACCCAGACTCTCTGGTCCATAGGCTGACGCTCTAACCACTGAGCGAAACCGGCCAGGGCTAATTTAATTTCTTTAAAGTAACAAGTTATACCACATTAGAGTTATTTATTTATTTTATTGATCTTAGAGTGAGCGAGAAGCAAATGCATATTGGTTGCCTCTCGAACTCTTCCTAACCAGGGATCGAACCCCCAACCGGGTATGTACCCTGACTGGGAATCGAACCTGCCACCTTTTGGTGTATGGAATGATTCTCCACCCAACTGAGCCACACTGGCCAGGGCTAGAATTATTTTTATTCATTTAATTTTTTAAATGACAGGCATTTTTTTTTTTTTAATGTATTTTTGTTGCTTTCAGAGAGAGGAAGGGGAGAGGGAGAAAGAGAGAAGCATCGACGAGAAACATCAATTAGCTGCCTCCTGCATGCCCTCCACTGGGGATTGAGCCTGCAATCTGGGTATGTGCCCTGACTGGGAATCAAACCAGCAACCTCCTAGTGAATGGGATGATGTTCAACC